ATCTAAAATAAATACATAAATAAAATTTTGCTCCATTCTGTATGAGTAAGTCAATTTTTAAGTGTTCTTCTTTACTTGTAATCTTTAGTCCCTTCTGGTTCCCCTTAGGGTCTAGTCTTCAAAAGTCTATTATGGTTGTTTTAAGAGTTCAAAACAGCAGCATTTTCTCTTTGGAAAGATTCTTATAATTAGTATCAAAAACTTATTTCACATCCATCTGAACCCTTAATCCATTTGTAACTTTTCAAAATCAACATTCTAACTGCTCTTTTGTTTTTATTTTATGAAAAAAATTACAATTATATTTAAAGCTTTTCTCACTAAGGTTTGAAGAAAACTCACCAAGTAGTTCTGAAACTTGTTGATCAAAGGTTTCTAATAGCTGAAAAGCAGTTGACAATAGTACTTTATAGTGCTCCAAAGAAAAATCTAAGACTCTAAAGGTTATATTTAATTAGTATCCCCTTGCTTATAAAAACCACTTCATATTGATAGATTGGTTATAGGTATGATTTTGGAAATTGATAGAAAAGGAAATAGGTGGAGCCAGTATCCTTTAGAAGGGAACTGACTGCGGTTTGAATGAGAATGGCTTTCCTTTATCTCCCAGAGCTATAAATCCACTGGAGACCACTATCTTCCTGTCTCCTCATGAAGAGGAGGAGGAATTCTGCAACTATGTGCAGAACTTGTGGGCAATCTCCTTATCTAGAAAGGAATTACAAAAAGCTGATCTACTCTACTTCACTCCACATTGGTCCTCAGCTCCACTTTTAGCAGAACTTTCTTCAGTTCAGATTTTTCCCCCCAGAAGATGGCTAATAGGCTATCATAGGTGGTTCTCATCTGTTTCCATCTCTTTGGAACAGAATAAAATTGCCAGATGTGCAAGGAGAGATCAACAAAAATCATACCTGTGACCAATAAAATGGTATTTTATAAGTGGAGAGATACCAACTAAAAGTAACCCTTTTAGCGGGGGTTGGCAACCTGTGGCTCTTTGGGCCCTCTCCTGTGGCTCCCTGTCAGATGATCCCACCACTGGCTAGCCCCAACCCTCTCACCCTCCCCTCCAGCTCACTCCTTGCCTGAGAAGGTAAGGGCGACAGCAGCGGATGGAGACTCACCCCATATTCCAGAGCGGGAGTGAAGGGCCCCTCTACTTGCCTCTTCTACCTGCCCTTGTTAGTGCTGCAAGCACATGGGTCACTTGGGGAGACGTGCGAATTACTCTCTGCCTGAGACACTGGCTGGGCCAGCTGCAGTCAATGCTCCACATCGTAATGGGCTTCAGGAGGAGGGGGACGCCGTCTCCCCCATTGTGAAACGTGTTAAATTTAACTCTGTTGCACAAGGTGCTGCAAGAGCAGCGAGCAGGCCATGGAGGCGGCAAGAGCAACAACATCAGCTGCAGCCAGCCTAGCCAGTGTCTCGGGGCAGAGAGAAAGTCGCGTGTCTCCCCATATTCCTCTTACCACCTCCATGGCCTGCTCACTGCTCTTGCAGCACCTTGCGCAGCACATTTAAATTTAGTGTGCTTCACAATGGGGGAGATGGCATCCCCTCCTCCTCCTGGGGCCCATTACAACATGGAGCATCGGCTGCAGCCAGTCCAGCCAGTGTTTTGGGATACAGAGGAAGTTGCACATCTCCCCAAGCAGCCAAGGTACATGCAACACCAACAAGGGCAGAAGAAGAGGCAAGTAGAGGGGTGCTTCACTCCGCTCTGGAATATGGAGTGAGTCTCCATCCACTGCCATCACCCTTCTCTTCTTAGGGCAGGTGAGGAGTAAGTGGTAGAAGAGGGTGGGGGGGGGGGCAAACTACTAGTGGGTTCAGCCGACAGGAAGCCACAGCAGGGGAATAAAAGAGCTTAATTTATCTGGGAACCTAAAAGACTCTTGATTTAAATCATATGGTAAAAAGCACCTAAAGAAGAAGAAAGAACAACATTAGCAAAAAACGACCCAACCCTCACCTGTTTATGGAAATGGTTCAAGAGGGAACACACACACATATACACACGAGAGGGAGGGAGGGAGGAAGAGATGAGAAAGAGAGAAAAAGAGAGACAGAGGGAGGAGAAAGAGAGGGAGATGAGAGTGAGATGAGGGAGAGAGAAAGAGAGAGGGGGGGAGAAAGAGAGGGAGGGAGATGAGAAAGAGACGAACAGAGAGAGAGACAGAGAGAGAGAATGAGAGGGAGAAAGAGATAAGATAGGAAGAGAAAGAGAAATGAGAGAGGAGGAGGAGAAAGAGAGCTGAGACAGAGAGATGAGAGAAAGAGAGAGGGAGAAAAAGAGAGATGAGACAAGAGAGAGACAGATGAGACAGGGACAGAGGGGAGAGAAAGAGAGAGAAAGAGAGAGAGAGACACACAGAGATACCTGTTTCCCAGAGAAAAGAAAATACCGGGCACCACAAAACCTGGGTAGGCGTAGCTGGGGGTGAGGGTCATGTGACTGGATGGGAGGGAGTGACATTGAGTTAGCCACACCCATCCAGGTTTGTGGCTCCAGGTGTTTTCTTTTCTGTGGTAAACGGGTCCATATGGCTCTTTTGAGTATCTAAAGTTGCAGACCCCTGTCTTAGAGCCCTAGGATGTTTCTTTTGGATTACTAAATTAGCACTGTGACAAATATTTTGAGGTAATAAATTGACATTAGCTTGTTGAATTGTAATTAATTCTATGATTGAGTGTATGATTTAAGAAAAAAATCATATATCTATATGAGTAATAAATTATTCAGTGTAACAAACCTTCTGATAATTCTGTAATTTGAAGCAAAGTCGCATTACTTTTTTCTTTTTATAATTATAATTCTACAGAATTACTTGTTGTCTGCTTTCTGAATATTTTGGAAAAAACAACTGAAAAAGTTAATAGGTTTCTTGTTAACAAATGTTTGTTTCTTGTTAAAATACTATACATCTCTATCTGTGGCAGGATTTTCACGAATAAAAAATAATGCATTAACCAATATTTGCATATAATCATTCAATGCAGAACAGGTAGTTCTCATTTAGCAACCATAATTAGGACCAGCAACTCAGTCACTAAGCAACATGATTACTAAGTGGAAAATCTGAAGACTGAAACAATTTGACTTCATTTTCATTTATTTCCCCTCACTCCCTGTTCGTTTAATGTTCACTATGATGCTGGAATAATTAGCAAGAAGTGAATTAATGGTTATATTTACATTGATTGGAGAGGAAGGGATTACAAGAGAGCAAGCAGGCACATAGTGGTGAACACCACATCAAAAACAATATGCTGGCTGTCAATATGCTTCTTGCAGGAGCTCCTTAGGAGGCAAACATAATTCAAAGGAGTGAAAGAGATGCAGAGGCTAATTAAAGTCATAGAAGTAAGCTTGTTAAACTTAGATAGAACTTAGAACCTTTGGGAGCAGCACTGCGCTGCTGTGGAGAAAAGCAGCTAAGGAAGAGATTGCTTGGTTAAGTAATCTTTCTGCTTTGGTGGGAGCAGAGAAAAATGGATCAGGCACAGAACAATGGGTACTAATTGACTTTGGTTGCAAAGTTATTTCCAATTTTGTAAATATGGGCATTGGTTGCAAAGTAACTTTGGCTGCTGTCCAAGACAGTTGTTTAGTGAGGTGTTCCACCCACCAGTCATTCCTGATCTCAAGGTAAATATAATAGAACATTACAAAGGACAATTGTATTGTGCAAAAGTTGTCAGTACCACTTGGTGCGTAATCAGTACTATTTCTTAGAAATTAACAGAAATGAATTCTTACTATAGCACATACTGTATGTTAATAAGCACTATAGAAGAATGCCTTAGCGTTTGTTCTCAAAATTGAAGAATGTCTTAGTGCAGGGGTCCCCAACCACCGGTCCGCGGACCGGTACCGGTCCGTGGAACAAGTCCTACCGGGCCGCTGGTTTGCTGGGCGCCGCCATCTTTTTTTGATGAAAAAGTGCTTCCGGTGAG